AACTAGATATCACAAACTATCGCCATCCTGAAATATGTTTCATGATCAAATTATCATAGATGATTTATATTTTAAAGTTTGTTTTTCGTAAGTATTATTCATGCTTTCTTAGTTAAAATAGAATCGGATAGATTATAAAGATTATTTCAATGATACTGAATCATGAATCATGTCCGCATGAATATTAATTATTTAGGTACTAATTTAAGAATGATTTAAGCTCATTTATTACTTATACTATGGATATCGCTAAAAATAGTAGCATCAAAAAATTGGGCTTCAGGTAACATACATTGTCTTTCAGTTCTCAAAAACTGCATAAAATAGCGCATTGGTTTGAAGAAGCGGACAGGCATTCAAAATTGTTAGCTACGTATAATTTGCAAAATACTGGAACTGTTTTTGCTATGGCATTATTGCCGGGCGAATTTGTCTATTTATCGGATGAGGATAACGTCGCTCAGTACTTCCTAGCCCAATGCTCGCTTCATACTACATGTGCACAATGTGCTGTTGACCCGTATTGTTCATGGAATCCTGCTCGTGGATTGTGTTATAGACGTGAACAATCTCACTTATCGGTAGCTGGGTAAATGATCTTTTCATATTCATTTTTTGTTAATTTTCTTTGGACTTTGAGACTTATTGTATTTTCTGTTACTCTAAATTTGTGCTTACGAAACTGAATTCCGTTTACTTTTTTTCTTGTGCTTATCAAATCAAATTTCGAAATGAACATTTCGCTGAGGCACTGTCTCTTTAATAGGTTTAGCTTTAAATGAGACTCAGCGGTGAAGGGTGTTTTCACCACTTCTTTCCTGCTTTATAATAGGAGTTGCGGTTTTTAAGTAACAACTGATTTAATATTTTTACAAATTTGTAAATTATTTAAATTTTAGATGGGTCACTTCCAATTCTAAAGATGCTGACAAATGTCTAGGGCATGTAAAACGGATGACGACTAATGCCTATATTGGTGATACATTGCACCTTAAATGTGCGGCGCAGTCAACATGGATTTTCAATACTGAGCCAATTTTGCCATCTGAAAAGAGACAATTAACTACCGAAGGAGGACTTGTCGTTTTCAATGCAAGTGTTACTTAAATTACAAACAGTTTTTTCCTTCCAAAGTCGAATAATTCTAAAAATTCGAATAATAATTTCTAGAAATATTTTTTTTCTTTTTCTTTCTTTTTTTTTTTTTGAAGTATACAAAAAGATTTATCTTATTTTCTTAGGTTTCTGGAATAGACAGTGGCACCTATGAATGCAGTGTAGATAAAAAAGCTGTTATGATATACGAAATTACGGTCGATGATGGTTAGCTTTCTTTTATTGATGTACTTATTATTGCAGCCAAATCGGTCGAACACTGGTACGACAACCGAAATTTAACTGTATACTTTAATAATAAGACTAGGTTTTTCATTATAGCCGAATGTGCACAACCGACTAGTGTAACTCAATTCAAGTCAAAGTATCGAGAGTGGTGTCAGAAATTTGCCAAGTACAAACACTCTGCTGAAAAGTGGCAACTTTGGTATGACAGAAATGTAAGGATCTTTTAGTTTAAAAATTATTTGACACTGTTTGGATAATTATGGATTAAATTACGAACAAAATGATTGCAGATTTTGAGTACTAGTACATACTGAATCAACAGAAGTCGTGTTTTTGTGTTTTTGTTCAATTTCATATTTAGTCACCCAATGGTAAATAGTATTAGAATTTCAAAATCATTTGGCAAATCATTTAGTCATATTAATCCAGGACTGTAAACGTGGTGAACGGTATTTGTATCATTCGGTCCTATTCTTTCGAAATGGTTATAGGAGAGTATTATTTATGAATCCCAAAATAAACAACTTTCATTGTTAAAGAAGTTAATTCCAGGCAGCGAACTGTCCCAAGCAAAGGTTCACTGATTTTAATCATATTACCATTGAATAATCTAAACTGGATATATCTAAAGGTCAGTTTTTATATATTTGCCGTTGTTTAGCATTTCGCTGATATTGTGATCTCTAGAGGAACATCATGAAAGTTTGAAATTCTCTGTTTACATTAAAATTTTTAGACTACGGAAAGAACGTTTCGTTTTAGGACAAAATTAAGTTCAATATGTTATAGTTAGTTTTTTGTGTTTTTGCCAAAAAAAGAAGTGATTTAATTGGTTAAAACGTTAAGTACAGTAAGTTTATTTTTGTAATTTTTTATATATCACAAATATGTAACATTATTGTTCTTGTAATATCCATTAATCGTGATATTCTTATTGCTCTGTTAATTTCTGTTTTCGTTTTTGACAGCATTAAAACCAGCGGGTGTACGTTAAAATAAATTGCTGAATTGCTGGCTTCACAATAATATATACACTGAATAAGGCCAAGTATCCATCATTTGTTGTGAAAGGAAATTATTACCTGGTTTAGAGGAGATTGGCAATGAAGTTTTAAATTGCATGACATGGAAGCAAGGTGATTGGTGAAGGTTTATTGACGATAAAGTTTATTAGTTGTTGATATATAATAACAGCTCGAACGAGAAACTGGAATATAATTCAGATTATTGAATTGAATGGTGGTAATGAAAATTAGAAGATCTTACATGTAGGAAGAATTAGACGATCGTAAGTAATCAGAAAAAAACAACTCTTTAGTTTCTAGTGCTTCAAGCAAAGGTTCACTGATTTTAGTATTACTATTGAACAATCTTAACTGGATATATCTTCATTCCACTGACATCTGTGATTTCGAGAGGAACATCGGGAAAATTTGGGATTCTCTGTTTACACTGAAATTTCAACACTTCGAAAAGAACGTTTCGTTATAGGACAAAACTGAGTTCAACATATTATAGTTAGTTTGTTATGCTTTTGCCAAAGAAAAAAATGATTTAATTGGTTAAGACATTGGGTGAATTTGCTTGTGCAAACAGTTGCATATAAGATCTTTGCCATAACATTTCAACAACTACTTACGAGTAATTTACAGATTAATTCTCAAGGAAGAAAAATTTTGCATGAAAATTAAAACTGACTCCTTACTTTATGTGTGGGAAGCATTTATTTGAATTTTAGGTGGGTATATTTATCTGGGATATATTCTAAATAACATTTAGCAACGTTTATCCAAGATATGTTTTAGATTTATCTTAGACATATTATAAATTGCAAACGCTATGATTGGTCGTATATTCTCTAGATTTGAGGTATTCCCGACCGAGAATAATTATTCTTTCGGGGAAAGAGTTTGGGGTCATGGTGAAGGGGGATTTTTCCGCTTTCTAATAAAGAAGTTTATAGAGCTTTCATAGGAATAGTTATAACTTCTTTTTGATTTAGAGAGTTGGAACAGGAAGGGCAAAAAATAGATCGAGTAAAATCAATTTTTAACTTGATGGCATTAATCCTGAGAAATGAAGAGGTTAATAGAAATCAAAATTCCCGTCAGGAACCAAATTTAAGAAAAGAATTTCATTATCAAAGGGGGAAAGGGACTTCCGCTTTATTCATAACAAAACAATCGGAGGTGGGAAACCTTCAGTCAAGTAATAAGAGGAAGTTTAGCGTGGGAAAAAGACCATGCATATTTTGTAACAAAAACCATTGGAATAATGAATGCCCAAACTACCTGACGGTTAAAAAACGATTCGAACGCCTGAAGGAGCTCAAGGCATGTACGAACTGTTTCCGCATGAACCATGCAACAAGTAATTGCAAACAAAAGAAGCGTATCTGTTTCCACTGTAAAGGCGAACATAATACGGCATTGTGCTACAAGAAATATGGATCTATTGACAATGGTGTCAACAAAAGAGAAGCAAATTCAACAATTATTACAAATTCACTAAATCAATCCATCAACCATGAAGGTAGGAAGGTTTTATTAATATGCAAAGAAATTGAAGCAGTTAATCCAAACCAATTGGAGATTCAAGAAGAAGCTTTGGTATTATTGATCCAGGTTCTCAATCATCTTTTGTATCAAAAAAGCTAGCCAATCGCTTAGGTCTAACTGAAACTAC